TAACCTTGAGTTGTTCACCGTCGTCTTGGTCCAAAGGCACAATAAGTGTTGCATCAAAACACCGCCAAACTTGTGGCAATCAGTTTATTTGCATTGAATCCACATGATGAAATAATTGAAATGTAGAATTAAACAATTTGAATCCCTTTGAAAATTAGACCAGAGAACTCCATACTTATCATTGAAGGCGAAGAATTGCAACATTGTAATAATGTAAATGAGTGGTATCCATTATTCTCATAACCAAGAAAAGGCATTTATCATATTTTGAAATACTACAGATCATTGGTTAATATGGAAGTGATGTTTAGCCAAAAAAAAAAGGTAAGCGAAATGAAGCAAATGGTTCCCTTCACTACTGTTGCATTGTATTAAGGAATGCATATGTCCCTTAAGAACTACACATTTATTTGATATACAATGCATACCACGGTTTATTGTTTTCGGTTTGGCTATGAGGATGTTAGCACTTTTAGTAGGCAAAATTGAAATCGATTCTGCATAAACACAACAATCGAAGAAAGGTGTACTGGCTGGTTGAAAGAGCCTAAAAGTATTATCCATGAAATATGAAATATGTGTGAATTAATGACAAAAGTCATTCAAACTATTATCCATGACTTCAAAAAAACAAAACGACAAAGATTGTACACAGACGGTGATTGCATGAACATCATCATACAGACGATGGATTTATAAGTGAACTCATAGGAAGGATGTCGCTAGAATGAGGTAGTGTACTCATAGCAAGGGTATTGCAGCACACTATCATTCATAGAAGTTTCTGCAAAGAGCATGACAAAGAAAATGATATGTAAAAGAGGTTATGCTTCATTTGCAACAGTTGGTCCAATGCAACGGCCATCCTGGAGGAAAAAAAAGATAGATGTGTTTCATGTCAGAAAAGTATGACAACAATTTTGCCTGCATATGGCTGATTCTGATTGAGCTAAAATAAACACATGGTACCAGACATATGATCCCACATGTAGATTCATAGACAGGTGCAAAGGCCATTTGACTAAGCATTGTGTGGCATCATTCATGCACTAACCGCCTTGGTAAGGTTAGACTGAAATTAAAATTTTAGTGATAGAGTGAAACACCACCTGATCAACAGGTATCATCATCAGAGACTTCTGTCTGATCAAAGATTCAAATGCTTCATTTTCCCGTCGAATGGTGGACTCAAATTTTTGCACCCCAGTGAAATATTCATAAAAAAGGAAGTAAACTTTTGACTTCCTTGATGAGCTGGCTGAGGCATGGGAAACAAAATAAATACATAAGAAAATTTGACGTTGCCTAGAAACTGGCCAACTGCATTTGTATCAACAAATTGGCTTTTACATACAGAAGTATGAGCATCGCCATGTTGACCATTGTCTTTGTGGTCAGCAGGGTAGGACCATACAACCTACATGAGAGGGAACAAATACTTGAACAAATCTTGAGTGTGGCTCTCGCCAAACCCGTAATGAATATAGAAGTAAATATATTTATAAGTAAGCGAAACCATAGATGATAGCATCATTCATTGTGTAAAGAAATTGTTGCTCCTATGGTCTGTGGCCGCGGCCATGGTCACCGGTAGGCACATGTACGTAGATATTTCATGCCTGAATTAGTATCCACAATTTATACACAATCTCTTTTTGACCATGCAACATTTTTAACAGGCATATTTATTACAAGGAAAATTCATATGGTAGCAATAAAATTCTGAACAAATAGCACTGACTAATATAAAGTCAAGATCATGGAATGTGGAAAAACATTATAGATGTGTAATAACCGGAGGCAAGGGCTAAATACAAAACAATAATATCAAATTTTGGAAATACCTTGAGATCTTCTAGGAGTCACTGGTCCTACACAAATTGGTCTTGTGGAACAGTATACATCCAGTATTTCCAAAAAGAAAGGAATTTAACCTTCTTTCTCAATTTTCTTTGAATGGAATCTGTGTGTTCTTGCTGTGAGCAACCGCCGCCGCAGTGAGCCCCACCCTCCTAATCATCGCCCCTCAAGCACCACACTACACACGTCTAAAAACCAAATCGCGATTAAGAAGGCAGTAGATCGAGGGATGGAAAATGGAGATCGAGATAAGTGGACGAGAAGCTGACCGAATCTACCGAGAGGAAAGAGTGTTGGGGAGGTGGTCGACCGCGTTCAAATGCGAAAGCCGTTGAGGACCGAGAGGCCGGATCTATGCGCCCCTCCCTAGAGATGCAGCTGTAGTCGGCGGATCCATGCGCGCCTCCCTGGGCGGCCACGAACGCGGCTTTCTTCACCAAGTCAGGTAGGGTTGGCGTGGGGCGGCCGGTAGGGGTCGGGCGTGGTTAGGGGTTCCGCTGGGTGGCGGTCTTGCAGGTGGGCGACGGCGGGAGCCTGGCGTGGGAGGCAGAGGCGGCGGCATCGGCATGGGAGGCGGCGGCCACAGGCTGCCACACATGGGAGGAGGCAAGTGACGTCATGGGGGAGGTGGCGCACGCGAGGGGCATCAGAGAGAGAGAGAGCAGTGCTGGATTGGGTTTCCCTTTGCGGGCTACAGATTCCGTCCCAAAAGGCTATGACTCTGCGCGTGCATACGGTGAAAAGATCTAAAACCGGAACTTGGGCAAGACCGTATATCCTTTCGCCGACACTTAGATAGTTGGCTTCTTTAGGAAACACCGACACTTATTCTGTCTAAAAACATTTGTCGACAGTTTCATTGTCCTAAGAGAAATGCCGATAGTTAATCTGTAGCCATACAATATCATTGCCGACAATTTACGTGACTTTAAAAAGGTTATATAATTACCAACATATAGTATGTTGTCAAAACCAATCATTTGCCAACAATAAGTGTAGGCAATGTGTGTCGTGGTGTAGTGAAAAGCCACAGCTAATATACATACCCAGCTCCTCGTCATCACTCTCTCTCAAAGTCTTTTTTGAACCCCTCACTTGTATTCTTTAAGCCTGTTTATGGCAACGATAACACAGAGTTTAATTTGGGTTTTGGGACCCGTTCGCATGGCGCTTTTTTTTCAAACGGACAGACGTCGATGGTATGCGCCCTGCAGCCACGTTGGCCCCTGTCATGCAGCCTGTTCGGTTGGCTGGTTCGTTTCGTTGTTGATTCGTGAAGAAATACTGCTGGCTGGTTTGTGTGAGAGAAAAATACTGTTCTGACTAGAAATTTGTGATTATTTACGACAAGCCACAGCCAAACGAACAGGTTGACGGTGTCTTCCCTCTGGGCACCTCTCCTTAATACAGTGTACGTACGGCCAGGACCTGGGGTGCAGACGTGCAGGTGCGCGCCCACAGCATCCGGGCTGACGCTCACCCGCCCGCCTCCCAGCCAACCCGGCGCGTCACAGCCTCCAGGTGGCGCCGCCGCACTGGACCCACCGTACCGTTTGCGTTTGACGATCACGAATCCCGCCCCCGCTCCCGGCGTCCGCTCGAGCCAGCCGACACGGCACCGAAGGCGGCGGAACCCGCCTGTCAGCCTCCGCTTCAGAAACTCACGCCGCTTGTGTCGCGTTCGCATGGCTCGCGTCGACAGCTGGGCTCGATACAACTTTTTCACTCAAGTGCCCCGACCTTATCGTCGATTTACGAACGAGGGCCGCTGCCATTTCCGTCGTTAGCAAATGAAAGCCGAATTTTTTATTTTAGCCTTTTTTTTTAAAAAATTTCACAAATATGCCATTGGAGGTAAGATTTTAAAATTTGAACCTTTAGCTCGGCGTCATCGTTGCTGGCGTCGATGTCTTGGACTCGACGCAGACATGACGGTAACTTGACAGGCACCTCGGCGTCATAGATCATGGCGTCAAGCTCGGCGCCAGGATCTACGGCGCCGAGCTCGGCGTCAGGATCTACGGCGCTGAGCTCGGCGTCAGGATCTATAGCGCCGAGGTGGTGTATGTACAATGTCATATCGTACGTCCTGTCATGCCGCTGCGAGCCGTCAGTCAATGCAGCCCGCACCCTGCTCTGTCTGTCGACCTGTCTAATCCTATCAATGTAGACAAGCATAGCTAGGCTGCCCGCGCTGCTTCTGGCTGTGGCTGGTCAAGTCACTCAACACTCATCAGTCTAGCTCAGCTCTCTTAGGTCAGATCAGGTGCCTGCACTGCACTGCATTGCATCGCATCTCCATGCAGTCCAGAGCTGCTTCGTCCGTGCCATCTCCACGCCATGCGTGCTTGCTTGTTTTGACGTGCGTAGTAAACTCCACTCCACTCGTCGGTGATCAGCATCTTTGCTTGTCTAGAAAATCTTTGCTGGATCTACGGCGCCAAGCTTGGCGCTAGAATCTATGGCGTCGAGCTGTCTGCCAAATCACCGCCACGTCTGCGTCGAGCCCAAGACCTCGGCGCCAGCAACGATGGCGCCGAGCAGTGTAATCTCGGCGCCAACAATGATGGCGCCGAGCTAAGGATCTAGATTTTGAAATCTTACTTCTTATTTCCAGGGCATATTTGTGAAATTTTTTTCAAAAAAAGAGCTAAAAAATAAAAAATTAAGTGGGTGGTGTGTGTACTGCGTGCGTAGGGACCAATCTGCAAAAAAGGTCTGCCGGCTGGACCCCGGTCGCTGCCCGCTCCGCGTCCCCCGAGGCTCTCCCTCCGCTAGTCTACTCCCCATTCACCCAAGTCCACAACTCCCTCCCAAACCCCGTCCAGCAGTCCCCCATTCGTCAAAATCGGCGCGGGGGGCGAGAGCGACCGCCATCCCTCCTCCCTCCCTCCCCCGACTCCCGTCCTCCCGTCGTCTTCACTCCGACGCCTCCCCTGCTGCCTGCTACCGCTATTGGGAGGGGGGCGGTCCCTGTCGCGCGCGACGCCGAGGCCTCGTGACCGGGACAGGCTGCTGATTCATAGCGCACCACCCGCCGGCTCGGCCTCGGTCGCGCCTCGCCAGAGGATTACTGGTGGTGGGCAGCGCTTGTGCTTGTTGTGTAACTGCTCGCGGCCGAGACCCTGCGGCCGGCGGCGATGGGCCAGGACCTCGTCGAGATCCACCCGCGCGAGCTCCAGTTCACCTGTAAGTCCCCGCCCGCCCCCCCTTCCCCGCTCCGCTCGCCTGGCCTGGCCTCATCTGCCGACGCCGACGAACCGCACGACCCCATGACGCTGCCGCCGGCGCCGCGCATGCTTGTCCGGGGCGTGCTTATCTGCTTCGATTCCGTGTTTCGTTGGCGTAGCTCACGTTTTTCCCCCCGTTGCGGATCGTCTTTGTGTGTGTCTCGTGCCAAGGTTTATGCATGACGCTGTCTGATGATTCGAGTTAACTTTTACCGATTTGTTGGTTTCCTGTCACGTGCGCTGAATTGATCATAGGGCGCAGAGGGTAGCCCGCCCGTGAACTGCTAGTGTTGCGTTTGGTTTGGGGGATCGGCTTCGGAACCTGCGATGTACTCGATGGAGTAGGAGCCAAGCTAAACCCCTTGTGAATTCGGGAAGCAAACGGTTTCGTCCACTTTTTTTTTATTTTCCCCCCACCTTGCTTTCTCAGACTGCAGTTGTAACGGTTCCACGAGCTTTAGAGGACCACCTCGCAGAATCCCTCTCTCGGTTGGTTTTAGAGGATCCAAATCCAATCGAGGCAATAAGCCTAGCCTTTTTCAACCTTTACTTTGTCAGTAATGTGTGGCAGTGTCGACTGTAGAGGCCGTAACTTTTCTTCCAGCCTACTACTTTAGTTGGTTGCTTCCATTCTCTTGGTTTGGTCACAGACAGGTAGATTTTGTGGTGCGAGTGGTTGTAAACTCCGGTGGCTGGTGGTGGTGGGGCGTGTGTCAGCGTGTTACAGAAGCAGGGACGGAGGGAAGGATCTGCTTGGCTGTTGGCTCTTGTTAACACGAATGAAAGTGCACTAATGGCTCACACTACTACTGATATTAAGTTGTGTTGAGAGAGAAGGACCTTGATGAGAGGGAAAGGTGTTAAGCTTTATGAACTTGACTTGATAAATTATTTGGCATCCATAAACTGCAAATGTTGTGCGCTTGGGCCGGACCTGGATCGAGTACAATCATAGCTGTAACTGAGTTTGTCTCAAAAAGGTTGGGTTACACTATTAAGTGAAAAAATGGTCCTATGAGTGTTCTCGGGAAGAAAATAAAAAAGACACAATGAGTATGCTAAAAAGTAATAGTTAGGGGACCTGTAGTGAAATGTTATGTTAGTGATCTTCCTATAAGAAAGTGCACTTGAGTTTTTCCCATCACTATTTTTGCTCTGGTCTCTGTGTGAATGCAGGCAACACACTAGTCAAATATCTGTGTTATCAAATGGACTTTGTGATTTTCACAGGAAAAATCTAACTGTCTCTCACAGATATCTAACCTACCATGTTGAAACCTTAAAATTGTTCAGCTGGTCAGCTTGGTTATTGTACTGAATTCAACATCCTTTTTTTTTACATTTCTGCATTGCTACATCTTTGTTCTGGACTTCTAATCATGCTTTCAAATGCATTATTTTGTTTTCACTAGTTTTGTCATTTCATTTCAAACCTGACTCTGTATTTGTTCTTCTTTATTTTTAAATGTAAATCTGACCCTCTTTTCCTGTTCTGTGTTGTTTACAGTTGAGGTGAAGAAACAAAGTTCATGTGTTGTCCACCTAATCAACAAGTCCAACGAGTATGTTGCTTTCAAGGTTTGTCCACAACTTTGACTTAGCATCTTAAACAAGTCTAATTTTCTACTCAAGTCTTCCTCCAATAACGCTAATGGCTGATATGTGATGTCTAGACATTGAAATATTGAATATCCAATTATCCATTACTTGATATAATGTTGAGTAGATAAGTACAAGCTATTATCCAAATAATTAGTTTCTGATGATGCTATAGCTAGAACTTAGATGTTTTGTTCCTTGTGCCTTGTCTTTCTGTTCTGTTCTTGTTTTGAGCAAATTCTGATCTTGTTTTCCTTTTTCCTCAAATTGGCTAGGTTAAAACAACATCTCCCAAAAGATACTGTGTTCGACCAAATACCGGGGTTGTCCTTCCGAGGAAAACATGTGAATTCACAGGTATGCATCTACGCTCACTGTTATTGATAATGGTTGTGTTTATTGAAGTAGAACCATGTTGATAGTACTCTGATATCATATGAACCTACTTCTAAGAATTGTGCTTACTTGGGGGTTAGAAGTTAAAAGAGATATATGTCATAGCCATCTTGTCTGATGTCGTTTTGGTGAGTCAGTTTGGGTTTTCAAGGCAACATTTTCCACCAAATTTCACTATGTGGTTACTGGTATTGGTGTTTGAGAGGTGGAAGCACTTGTCAAATAAAGAAAAAAAATAGGCAATTCAGTAATTCTTAACATCCTCGTGGAGTCCTGGTTCGGTATCAGTGTGCATGAAGCTAAAGTGATAAGTTTCAGACCGGAGGTAGTAATTCTGATTCTTGTTTGATGTGCATTACAAGTGGATTCCTTCTTTACTTTTACTGCCCATTAAATAAACACTTGTGTTTGCTATTGGTACGAGGGCAATAGTTGTTAAACTTTTCTGTCTTTTGTATACCTTATCAGTTTTCTTTCTTATATTGGCTACGTTATTCTTTCCTCTTATTCAATGCTTGCTTTTTACTTATATATGTAGTTACCATGCAAGCGCTCCGAACTGCTCCACCAGACATGCAATTAAAAGACAAGTTTTTGGTACAGACCACAGTTGTTCCTTATGGTACATCTGACGAGGAACTCGTTCCTGCTTTTGTAAGCACCTAGCTATAAGCTTTAGTTGCATATTGCTCTTTTCATGTCATTTGTTGTAACTGTGATGTTCACTAATTCTTTGTAAGCACCTAGCTATAAGCTTTAGTTGCATATTGCTCTTTTCATGTCATTTGTTGTAACTGTGATGTTCACTAATTCTTTCTTATCAGTTCTCCAAAGAAACTGGCAGATACATCGAGGAAAGCAAATTAAAAGTTGTTCTTGTTAGTGCATACCAATCCCTCGAAGAGCAACCGACTAATGGAACTCATGACACTGAGCCAGCTGTTGGAATTCCTGTACTGAAAGAGATGCCAAACATAGAGAACGAAGTGCCAGATGTTGCAAAAGAAGTTCCTGCCTCTCTGGCACAAGCTCCAGCAATTGTGACTGGAATACCTTCACCTGTCGAAGAGACTCCAGGCCTGAGAGAAATTCCTGTGCCACTGAATGAAGCACCAGCTGTATTGGCAGAATCGCCTTCCGCTCAAAAAGACCCCTTTGCTATTACAGTTGAACATGCCTCTACTGTTACAATTGAACATGCCCCTGCTATTTCCATTGAATCCCCTCCTTCGAAACAAAGTGTTGCAGTTTTTAAGGAATCTCCTCCTCTGAAACAAAGCGTTGCAGTTTTTAAGGAATCTCCTCCTTTGAAACAAAGCATTGCAGTTTTTATGGAATCTTCTCCACTGGAGGAAACTACTCCTAAAGAAGCTGTTATGCTAAGTGACCGAGGACTTTTGAATGTGCAGAACCATCAATTATCTCATGTAAGCTTCCATTATCTAGTACACCATATGCCCATTTTCCTAAGTTTAGCTTAATATAAGCGAATGGTCAGTAGAGCTGTTAAACATGTTTTTGATACACTAGTCACAACCCAGCTTCTAGCCCAACAGAGACATATACACCCCAAGCAGAACCAAGCCTTAATACTGGTTAGATTTTGGCAAAATAACACCTGTTTTCTATTGAATCTTTATTAAAAAAAACAGTTATGAAATAAAATGGTGAAGAGTTACTTAGAAAACTGGATTGAACTTTGAATTGTGGCCCTCATCTTGGCTCTACAGTTCTGATTTACTTATTTCTTTCACAGAATCACAGCCTTCAAGTCAACATATACATAAAACTCCCAACTTGCATGGGGCTGTTTTGTTGTTTTTCTTTTTGTACAGCAATGTGTTGACTTTCTCCTTTTACATATGTACCAGGTAACAGAAGATGTTCAGAATCTGAAATCAAAGCTTAACAATCTTGAATCCAAATTGGACGAGGTAAGCTGAACACCATGGGATATTTTCCATTACTTGAACAAGTGTTAGGATTAGATTTTTCATTAAATGGCGAAGATACTCTAATATGTTTCTGTTTCGTAGGCTGAAAAGATGATAATAAGGCTAAGAGAAGAGAGCAGAAGTACCACCCAGGAGCGGGATAAGCTACAGCAAGAAATGGTATGTCTTGAACAGTTGAACTTCTTCGATATTTATATCCCCATCTGGAAAATGTAGAACAACTATATATACTGTTAAAAGAAAGAGTATTCAAGCATAGGGTTTTTAGCTTGGCTGATAAATCAGAAGCATGAAAAAGCTAAACGCCTTTTAGCCACAACCCCCTTCCCAATTCCCATCCTGTTACTGTTATGAATGAAAGCGGTTGCATTTTCTAGTCAGATCCGCACTGCAATGCATCATGCCATTAACTGGTTCTGGTAGATTCTCCGTGCCATGTTTCTGCTGGAGGCATTTGCACCAGATGCTGGAGGAGCCATCCATCCGGAATTTCATTTACCAAAATTTATCGATGCATTCATTTCCCAATTTATGCGTTTAGATCTAGGGGGGTCGAGTGATAGTCACCTGATATCTTATCCATGTATGAAACTGAGCACTGAACATACTCTCTGAACTATCATAACCGAATGTGTGTTGCAAACTTCTCACTGTTGAAACTGCTCTTTTACCATCATTGAATTTGCTTTGGTTTAGGATTTTGTTATTACAAATTGGTCATATTTTGCTGATATTATTTCTAATGAGGCATGGTTTGTCCAGGTATTCCTAAGAAAGAAAGGACTCCCAAGGAGTCTGGGTTTCCCCTTGCTCTTTGTGGTGTACGTGGCGCTTCTTGGTACCTCGCTCGGTTACCTGCTCCGCCTATGAGTTCCGAACTCTAAAAAAAAGTTCAGCAGCTGGGATGCTTCATATCCAGCGAGAGAATTGAATGGCAGTTGCGCGCCAAAATGTTGGGGAGGTCAATTTATTAGAACTTCATATGGTTTTGCACATAACAGCAGTGCCAAACTACCAGCCTCCTGTATGTATAGAACCCACCAAAAGATGCCTGCTGCCTTGTAGACTAACCTGGGATTCTTCCATCTGCCTAAGTTTTTTTTTTTGTTTTGTTTTTACAGTTGGCTGGATTCGCTTGACCTGAATCGGCATTAATTTGTTGTGTTACTATTTACACCTGAACTCCGCCTATGTTGTCTCAACATAGTAGGATCCAAGCCCTGGTAAAGGAGGAGAGTTGTGATTGGCGTGGCGAGCCAACGTTAAACCTAGCCATTCTAATAGAGATGAAACCCGAAAAAAAAACGTTGGGGCGTAACCCTCTTAGCGACGCGCCATATCGGAACCCGGGTATGGTGTTAAATGAGCAAGGGCCGGGTCGTCACCCCCGTGACGCGCCGTGTCGCGATCTGGGCACGGTGTCAAGTGAGCAAGGATCGAGTCGTCGCATCCTTAGTGGCGCGCTACATCGGCGCCCGGGTGTAGTGAAAAATAAGTAAGGGTCTTTACATCTGAGTCGACGGGTGCGAAGGGTAGGAAGCTAGTCGAATCAACTAGGATCCATTTAGTTAGTTGGAATGTTGGGTCGCTTACAGGTAAGTTAAGAGAATTAGTTGATACCGTAACTAGGAGACGTGTAAATATATTATGCGTTTAAGAGACTAAATGGAAGGGTCAGAAGGCGAAGGAGGTGGACAATACAGGTTTCAAACTTTGGTACACAGGGACAGTCGCGAATAGAAATGGAGTGGGAGTTTTGATTGATAAGAGCCTCAAGAATAGTGTGGTGGGAGTGAGAAGGCAAGGAGATAGGATTATCTTAGTCATTGGTGATATGGTCTTGAACGTAATTAGTGCGTATGCCCCCAAGTAGGCCTCGACGAGAGTGCTAAGAGACAGTTCTAGGAAGACTTCGATGGCCTGATTAGAATTGTACCTAGTAGTGAGAAGCTTTTTATAGAAGATCTTAATGGGCATGTAGGTACTACAAGCGCATGTTTCGAGACAGTTCATGAAGGTTTTGGGTATGGTAGTAGGAATCAAGAGGGGGAGGAAGTTCTGGACGTTACGGTAACTTTTGACCTGATGATAGCCAACACTTTCTTTAGAAAGAGAGAATCTTATCTAGTGACCTTCAGTAGCGGACAACACTCTAGCCAGATTGACTTTGTCCTCGCAAGAAGAAAGGATAAACGAGCATGCTTGGGTTGCAAGGTGATACCAGGGGAGTGTTGTTTCTCAACATAAACTTTTGGTGGCAGACTTTCGTTTTCAGGTGCGTGCCCGTAGGGATAAACAAGCTAAGATTGAAAGAACAAAGTGGTGGAAACTGAAAGGGGAGATGCCAGAGGTATTCAGAGAAAGGATTATCAAATAGGGCTTTTGGAAGGAAGAAGAGGACATAAACAACATATGAGAGAAGATGACAACCAACATTCGGAAGGTGGCCTCAGAGGTGTGTGGAGTAACCAAAGGAAGTGGAGGCGACGCTAAAGATACTTGGTGGTGGAACGAGAAAGTCCAAAGGACTATTAAGGAGAAGAAAGAATGCTATAGACGCTTGTACCATAACAGGAGTGGACAACATAGAGAAGTACAAGGTGGCAAATAAGACTGTAAAGCGAGCTATAAGTGTGGCAAAGGGTAGAGCGTACGTGGATCTTTACCAATATTTGGGTACGAAGGAAGGAGAGAAGGATATTTATATGATGGCTAGGGTTCGTGAGAGAAAGACAAGGGACTTCAACCAAGTTAAGTGCATTAAGGATGAAAGGGAGCATCTCTTGGTGAAGGAGGATGAGATCCGACATCGATGGTAAGAATATTTTGACAAATTGTTCAATGGTGAGAATATGGACACAACCTTTCAGTTGGATGACTCTTTTGATAACATTAATAGGCGCTTTATGCGGAGAATCCAAGAATCTGAGGTCAGAGAGGCGTTGAAAATGATAAAAGGAGGTAAGGCGATGGGACCGGATGGTATCCCAATCGAGGTGTGGAGATGCCTTAGGGACATAGCTATAGTATAGCTAACTGAAAGAACCTAGGATGCCGCCTAGAGGGCGGGTGAATAGACGTTTATGAAAATTAACACCTTTATATGCGGAAACAATTAGAAAAGGGAGTTTCCAAAATGGAAACTCCAAATTAAAAGTAATACCACCCCTTACAAGTTAGCCACAGAGTAAACAAGATATAAAGAATATATCTAGAAGTTACAACCCCGCAACACAAAGTTAGAACAGAGAATAAATATTTTCATCACAGGTAGGAAATACCGGACGTGTTCGGTATGAATACCGGACGTGTCCGGTATACACGATTTCTGCAGAGCAGCCCCAAACTTGCTCCTTTCGATTTCTATTTTCAAGCCAAACTGCAGATACCTACTAGAGATGACAATATACATAGAGAACCTGCACAAGAGCTGGAGCAACACAAATATCAAATGAAATCCGAATTGAGACATGATATTTGTTTTACCGAAATTCAGACTCGTTCGAGTCCTACTCTCTGTTGAGGGGGCTGCGGGCGACCCAGCGAAGGTCCGCCCTAGAGGGTACCATGAAGGTCACTCTAGCCGGAGTTTTTTCCAACTCTTTTTTCTCTTTTCACTAGTTGATTCCGAGGCGGCGGAATCGACCGATACAAACTTTCCGAGGCACACCATAATCTCTCGGGTGCTCTTCGGCGACGCCTAACCGTCTAGGATCGAAGAGTCCAAGAGTAACAAATGCAAATCACAAAATAGACAATATGCACAAGTGTTCAAGTGGTGACTTTCTCTCTTTTTCAAATTCTCTCTTAACCCACAAATGGATTTTGCGATTTGGATCACACACTCACTAAGAGAGGGTTTGGGAGAGTTGGCAAGGCTAAAAAACGTGTATGTGTATCAGTAGAATCAGCAGCCTCCAAAGGTGGAGGCTTGGGGGTATTTATAGCCCCCTTGAAAAAAAACTAGCCGTTTTATAGCTGTTGCCATAGCATACCAGACACGTCCGGTATGACTTACACTGCGCCAACGGTAACAGAGTTACAGTGACGTTGTGAGGCGTCGGAACTCCCGATGAATGTCGAAATTTTCGACCGTCGGAACTCTCGACTCACGTCAAAACTCTCGACCCTCAGCACATTTGAAAACTACGGTGACTGAGTTAAAGTATGTGAGGTGTCGGAACTCCCGATTCACGTTGGAACTCCCGACCCTCATGGCATTTGAAAACTAGCCGTTGGCCTCTGGCCGTCCATCCGGTATGAATACCGGACACGTCCGGTATGACCACCACAGCGAACTCTCCAAGTCAGTTAAGCGCGAGACGTCGGAACTCCCAACCGTTGCCGAAACTCCCGACCCACATCGGAACTCCCGACGAACCAACCTGAGATCAACAATATTACCATTGCTGGGCAAATACCGAACACGTCTGGTATCAATACCGGAGCTAGACCAGCAAAAATAGGTTAGCTCTTTTGTCTCTCAAACACTTAAAACTCACATGGGTTGGCTTGAGCACTTATGAAACATTTCTATCAACATGATGCATCCCTCTTAATAGTACGACATTCCTATTAACTCAAATTTAAAAGTATAACAAATTTAAATCTTTTGAGTTGATCTCATTCAACCGAAGGCGTGTATTCCAATCTTAATCAAGTGAGGGTGCCAATATGTTGATATTGATCTTTTCACTTGAGCATAGCCATCTTGAGCACGTGACTTGATTCCATTCATCAAATTTGAATAATCCGAAATGTATCAAGTCACTTTCATCAAACACTCCAATAGTGATTTGATCCTCCACATTAACATGACCATCATAACTTGATTAGTACCTCAACTAAATGCAAGTACTTCCTTCTTCACTCTAGCTAGGTTCTTCGACCGTCAAGCCGTCGCTTGCCCTTCACCCTTGATTAGTACCTCGAAGCCTTTCCTTGCTATCTTCACCATCTTAAGCCATCAAGTCACATCTTGTGTTGAATCATCCATTCATTTGTATTGTTATATTTTTCATTTCAATTTAGCAAGCTTCAAATATGAGACCATTCCATATGCAATCCCTCATGTCTCATTAATTAATTCTTACGAGCTTGCTTTCACATAGTATATGGAAATCTCACAGTAAATAAGTCTTTGTATGAATTATATTTGCATTGTTGTTTTGTGCTTGAACTAGATTATTTATACAACAACACATCATTTTGGCTTTCATTAAGTACCTGTGAGATAATCCATTATCTGTCCACACTTAGCAAACGGGTTAGACCTTTAATCACGTTGTCATTGAATCATCCAAAAACCACTAAAGGGCTAGATCCACTTTCAATCTCCCCCTTTTTGGTGATTGATGACAACTTGATTAAAGTTTACAAAAGAATATAAACATTTAATCTTTTGGGTTCAATGATTTATGAGAGGCTCCCCCTTAATATGTGCTTATGATTAGAAATCACAAAATAACCTCAAATGTCAATTGCACATACTAAAACATATAGGAGACTCCCCCTAAATCATTGCATCCATGGGGTACATGTGTGTGTGACAAAGTAAAACCGTGATGCATATGACAAGATATATCACACAAGAATAAATATAAAGGCGTTACATCAAATATTTTCATTCTAGCATGCATAGTCCTTATGAAAATAAATACAACACATGTATGTCACACATAGCACTCATTACACATTTTCTCAAGTCCACAGGCCACTGATATAAAAGTAAAGATCATGTCTCAAGAGATACATAGATAAAGCATAAGTAAGTCTCATTTCTCACATGATACAATCTATCTCAAACTCAAGAAACATCAATGAAGCTCAAAAATCAAAAACTACGGCCTTGCAGTACATATCTTCAGGTA